GTTAAGCTTACAGAGCCACACAGGCAACCTTAAGCTTAATCTTTAGCGCACACAGACAACACGTTCTCTCAGAACGGTGGCAGACAAGACACTGATTCAAGCCGCCCCGCACAGAAGGAGCAGACTCGTTTTCAAGGCTGGTGCTGATTAGCCGCAGCGATGGATTGGCCAGACGTGGAAAGCGCGACCCAATCTCCGAACGGAAGGCAGAACTGGGAGGCAGCGTGCGTAGCCGGTGCACCATGCAGCGGGGCGGAGCCTGAGCAGAACAGCAGCACAACACAGGAGGGAGGGAAGCGGGTGTACGACGCGGCCCAGCGCCAGCGGCCGTAACACTCCCCCCCTTAAAATACAAGCCATCTCATCAAAGTAAAATCAGAGCAAATTTGTGAATTACTCACCCGAACACAGAATCACAGACTTTGCCTCTCTCGTGGCGAATCCCTCAAAGGAACACACAGATCAAGGCCGCGAACTGAAACTTGCAGAGCGAGAGCCAAAACGCTCTCCATGGTGCTGACAGTGCCGCTCGCCTGACCGAAGCCTGGTGGCCTTAGCCTTGTGCTTCCGTACAGAAGTGGCGGGTGGAGTAAAGTGCGGCGGTACCCGTGGTTTCACTTGAGTGGCGGGCAGTCTACAACCGCACTGTTCTGGAGGACGGGTGTGCGCCACAGCACAACCCGTGGGCATCTGACGATCAGAGGCACACACAAGCGGGGACAGAACCGCATCCAACAGGGGAGGAAACACCATGCCCCCTGCCAAATCATTACATAAAATCATGTCTACATTTTCAATGGGTAGCGCAGGGACCACAGCTAACGGAAACTTTCCTGTAACGAGGTTTGACTGGACATGAACAAAGTGAACGGGCCGCGGGCGGTAGCCCATCTCAACTCCCCGTAACACACTCCTGTAACCACAGTAAGAGCGGTATGAAAACGGGAGAGCACTGGCCAAAATCAAGCTCTGGGAACCGCCAGTGTCTCGTAGGATACGGATGGGACGTTGATCTGGTCCTTCGCCATTCAGTGATACTAGGCCCTGTGATATGAAAGGCTCAAAACAGGAGCCGTGGTTTTGGACAGTATTGGGTCCTGACTTATGACTTACAGATTGAATTAACCCAATGCTCTGAACGTTTGGAGCTGAACACTCCTCCTTTTGTCTGAGAGTAGGGCAGTCTGCGATTACGTGTCCGGGCTCGCGGCAGTAGAAGCAGACTGTCCCTTGTGGAGGTTCCAGGAGAGCGTGGACGATCAGGCTGCACAGACACACGCGTCTCATTAACAGAAGATGACGAAAAGTTCTTATGAGTCAACACAAACTCATCTGCTAACACAGAAGCCTCAGAAATAGTTTTAACCTTTTGCTCATTCAAATACACAACCACACGCGCAGGCAGGTTGTTCTTAAAGTCTTCTAACAACATTAATTCACGCAAAGAATCGCAATCTTGGGCCTTCGCAGAGGCACACCATTTGTCAAACAGATTTCCTTTTTCCCGTGCGAACTCAACACACGTTTGACTCGGGGCTTTACTGAGACTTCTAAAAGACTGTCTGTAGGCCTCAGGCACTAATTCATACGTGCGTAAGACTGCTCTCTTGACTGCATCATAATGCAGGCTCTCAGCAAGAGGCATCGCAGCGATTATCTCTTGTGCTTTACCGTACACTTTACACTGCACAAGGATAGGCCAAACTTCACGAGGCCAATTTAACGCCATCGCGATTCTCTCAAAAGCAGAAAAATACGAATCAACCTCACTCTCCCTAAATGTAGGCACAATTTGTATCATTTTACTCACGTCAAGAGAGTCATGAACAGCTGGGGAGAGGGCTGTGGCAGGTGCAGCGACGCCCGGGCGTTGAGTAGGACTGGGGAGGCGGCCTTCGGCCTCCAGCTCAAGGCGTCTGAGGCGCACAGCTTTGTCAGCCTCGATCTCAAGCCTCCGTATATGCAGTTCGAGCTCGGCACTGCGGTCCCGATCCTTCTGCTCGGCCTCACTCTTGATGCGTGCCAGCCGCGAAGCGCGCCAAGCACCACCAACTGAGCCGGGAGAGGAAGGAGCTGGGGAGGGCGGCCCGTAGCGAGGAGGAGTGCGCGGTGGTTCAGGCCGCGCATCGCCCTCTACAAACTCACGCTCCGCTCTGGGAGGGCCATCCGCAGGCGTCTCCGTACGTCGTCTCGGGGTAGTCGCATGCACGATGCTCTCATCAGACCTCTCAGCCTCTGGGATCAAACGCAAGCCCCTCTCCACCAAACCATCCAGGAGCAGCACCTTGAGTTCGGCCTTGCTGCTCTGACGGGAATACAAAATCTCAAAATGATCGGCAACCTCAAATAGATCCTTCTTTTTACAGAGCTCAAGTGCTTCGGCCGAGGGATGAAGCAAGAATGCCTGTAAATTGAAAGCGGTTGCCATTCTCCCAATGTCCAAATACAATACAGCTTACCCCCCCACTTACCTAATAAATTTTGATTCGGCCACCTAATGCCGGGAACGTGTATATCCCGGACGAGCCCCCAAATATGTTACGACCCTACAGTTGAGCTCGTAGGGGAAGAGGGAAGTAACATAAAACCAAGGATGTAATAATGGTAAATTAGATGGCCTTTTAATAAAACAGGCAAAAGGGGTAACAGTTTGTACTGGACAGCGTCAGAGTCAAATAAAACACACAAAAACACAGGGTTCTCAAATAAACACAAGCACAGAGCCACACAGGCAACCTTAAGCTTAATCTTTAGCGCACACAGACAACACGTTCTCTCAGAACGGTGGCAGACAAGACACTGATTCAAGCCGCCCCGCACAGAAGGAGCAGACTCGTTTTCAAGGCTGGTGCTGATTAGCCGCAGCGATGGATTGGCCAGACGTGGAAAGCGCGACCCAATCTCCGAACGGAAGGCAGAACTGGGAGGCAGCGTGCGTAGCCGGTGCACCATGCAGCGGGGCGGAGCCTGAGCAGAACAGCAGCACAACACAGGAGGGAGGGAAGCGGGTGTACGACGCGGCCCAGCGCCAGCGGCCGTAACACCCATTATCACCAGAATAATTGACAATTAGGAGGACCAATAGTTTAGATGATCCATCCGAGAGTAGAATATCCTCCCATATACCTTTTACTATAGATGACAATGGTTTCATTCAAATGTTTCTAAGATTATACTACTCTAAGAAGTATAGAGCGATATCAAGTGTATATGGATTAAGAAAGTCAGTGTTGCATCACAACTCTACAGAACAGGAATGAAGAGCACACAGCACAAGATAAACAATTATCTAACTATAGCATCAAAGAAACAAGTATAAAATCTTTACATTTGGCATAACGTGTGTGAAATGGAGAATTGTTCGAGGCTTCAGAACACTCAGACTAGAACACAAGAGCTTTGTAAAAAAGCGGGAAAAGTGTACAATGTGCATATCGGTGACGGATCTATAAATGACTGCATATTTGTCAAGGAGAATCTTAAAATGATACCTTTGTGACATTGTCAAATTGAGTAATTTTGGTGATTTTAAAGTAATAGCACTTATATTATTCCTTGTGTGGTCGCTGAGTTTACCCTTTAGAGGGTGGTTTAAATGTAACTTATGTGAAATCACGTCCCCCTGTCCGGTTTGAGTTTTTATTTTTATAACTATACAGTTCAGTCTTGGAAGAAATGTGTATACCAAGTTTTTCATGTACGTTTGTTCTTTCTGCAGCCAATATCCGTGCTGTAAAGAGGGAGCAATTCCGACAGCAGCTAAAGGAGAAGCCTGGAGAGGAATTAGAATCCACCTTTTTTGACAATCGTGTGCTTGTGGCACCTGCTCAGCGCATTCGCAAGGGCTTCAAATTTCATGAACAGGGTCGTTTTGAGAAGATAGCACAAAGAATTAGAACAAAGGTATAATCGTGGTCTAACATTGTACACGTTTGAAATGCAATTGTACTACCAAAATGTTGTTATGTGATCACAATCAGGCCCAGTTGGAGAAGTTACAGAATGAAATTGCTCAGGCGGCAAGAAAGACTGGAATCCAAGCCTCCACAAAGCTAGCTCTGATTGCTCCCAAAAAGGAGCTTGGTGAAGGAGAGGTACCCCACATCGAGTGGTGGGACTCGTACATCTTACCTACAAATAAAGAATAGTAAGCTTATGTCTGTATATATATGTTATATTCTAACTTTTGTAGCAATAAATCTGTATTCTAAATATAGCCATTTTCTAATAGTGCTTCACAGACTAAATTTGAAGAATTGGAGCTTTTTGGTGTAACAAACCTTGTAGAACACCCAGCTCAAATAAAACCACCAGGTGAGTTGATGATATTTCATAATGGTCGAACTATGTATCTATTGGCTTTATATATTAATCAATTTTCTTCATTAAATATCAATGCTAATCTATATTTCAGCTAGTTGGTTTAAGCATGTTGCACATATGCGTTTTCCCTCCCCTCCCCCTGGTCATATATTGTAAACCTTCAGAAAGGCCTTTATTGATATTTTTTTATATTTGTTTTGTGTGATTTTGATTTAATATGAGGAAGGCAAACAATGACTTTGTGTTGTGCATTTGGAAATAATTCATACTGTTCTTTTATTTTCATACTTGAGTATGTGTTTATTTTCCAGTGGACATGGATAAAGCGGTAACGCTAGGCGTATACTTAACAAAGAAAGAACAAAAAAAGCTCAGACGACAAACTCGCAGAGAAGGCCAAAAAGAAGTACAAGAAAGAGTGCGTCTGGGTCTGATGCCTCCACCAGAACCCAAAGGTACTAAAACCAACTAAATGGAAACGAGAACACATTGTGTTTTGTATTGATCTAATCAGAGGTATTTTTCATAGTTCGTATTTCTAATCTGATGAGGGTGCTTGGGACCGAGGCAGTCCAGGACCCCACAAAGGTTGAAGCGCACGTTCGAGCACAGATGGCCAAACGACAGAAGTAAGTCCTATTGAAACTGTCTAGTGTTTGGTACATCTGCTGTAATGTTTCCCATTCTATCAGGGCTCATGAAGAGGCCAATGCAGCTCGTAAGCTCACAGCAGAACAAAGAAAAGAAAAGAAAGTGAAGAAGTTGAAAGAAGACCTAACTAATGGTGTTCATATTGCAGTTTACAGGTATTTTGTATTTTTTTTGTATTTGTGTTTTAATGATCTTCAGATAATTATGAATACTGACTTGGCTGAAGTGTAATTGAACTGAGGAAATTTGGTGACTTTATAATTATGTACTAATATGTACTATTCAGATGTATTTCAATTTTATAAAGTAAAAAAAAAAAAATCTTGACTACAGAACTTGAACACTGCTATAGTAGGGAACATTTGCATTTATGTTTTTGTCAAATAAAAGATACTGGTTGTTTTGTTCACCTACTGATAATTCAATTTCATTGTTTTGCTTACAGAATCCGCAACTTGCACAATCCTGCCAAAAAGTTTAAGGTTGAGGCCAATGCCAACCAACTGTACCTGACGGGCACTGTCGTTATGCATAAAGACAGTAACATTGTAGTGGTGGAAGGAGGCAAGCTGATGTTGACAACAAACCACATTTTCTTTAAGTGAATTTACTGAAAACCTTTTTTTTTTTTTTCTTAGGCCCCAAATCACAAAAGAAATTCAAAAGGCTCATGATGCACAGAATCAAATGGGTAGAACTCAGCAGTAAAAGAGATGGTAATTGACATTGTTTTTCTTTGTTTCTCTGCACATGAAATAAAACTTATTTCTTTATTCATTTAGATCGTGATGATGATGATACAAAGAGGAATAACAAGTGTTGGCTGATATGGGAGGTTAGTCTTTATGTATAAATTAGTGCTGGAAAAAACGTATGATAATTGATTAATCTAGCGTTTCACTGTTTTATTCGATGATCAATTCTCTCCATTATTTAAAAAATAGCTATTTATACATCATTAACAAATATGTTCATGTAAATCTTGAGGTTACTTCAGTCCTTTAATGGTGTGAAGAGTGTGGAATGTGGGATCACGGCTGCATTTTTCTCATGATTTTAAAACATGTCTTTCCAGGGCACTGCTAAGGAGCGCAGTTTTGGGGAAATCAAGTTTAAACAGTGTCCAACTGAAAGTATGGCGAGAGAACATTTCAAGAAGCACCGTACTGAACACTACTGGGACCTTGCACTGAGTCATAGTGTGTTGGATGGCACTGATGACTGACTTTAAACAAGATATTTTCTTATATAAAAAATTGTTTCTTCTCACTGCTTGTGATCTCCAAGCCTGAAGATGACGAAGATACAACCTTAATTTTCTCTGTATTTTTATTGAGGGAATAGATTACACCTGTAAACATGGTTTGTTGACATATGAAAGCTCATGTCTATAGACTGATGCACCATGAATAAAGGCTGTGTAATAGAATAATGCAACATTTTTGGGCTTATGAATCTGAGTGATTAAGATAAAACAATGGAGCTTTCTGACTGTGTTTCCTGTTAATTAATCTGTTCTATGTATCCCTGGAAGTCGAGCCCATCCGAGCTGAAGAAGGTACATCCAAAAATAAAGAGCCACTGTGAAAATATATATAATACTTGTTCGTGTGAACTGTAAAGTCACGATGGACTGGTTTAGATTTTGCAGAAAAAAAGACAAGTGTTCTTTTTGAAATTGCAATACATTTGCAGTTTCTTTTATGATGTAAGACTGCAACCAGTCCAATAAATTTAATGTAGCTACATCTGTCTGCGCAACATTGTACCTCATTCAAGTTCACAGTCTGGATGTGAACCAAATGGTATCTGTTCACGAGGGCCTCTATTTCCCCCTAGTGGCCCCCTGCTCTTGTGCTTTCATGACCGCCACTGGTCCATTCGTACTGCGCAGCTCTCGGGATAGAGGATTGGAAAGATGGCGGCCGGTGCAGAGGCTGCAGGCGGTCAGGAGAGCCGCGGCTCCATTACAGCTATGGAATCGTCTTTGGATCGGAAATTTCAAGGAATATCGAACAGTATGGAGTCCATACAGGGACTATCCGCCTGGTGCATTGAAAATAAGAAACACCACGTCCAAATTGTCCGTTCCTGGATGAAGTGGCTCAAGAAATGTGAGTAATGCTAATGCTAGCAAGCCCATGCTCAGCTAATGCAGAGCAGGGTTACAGCCATGGATGTATCATATTATCGGTTACAGGCATTTATTGGTATTTTAATCGATTTAGGCGTGCATAGCCCCATTTTAACCGCGGTAAAGTGGGCCGCATCTTTCACCTCCGAAGTAAAACGGCCCGCATCGAGAAAAAAGCAGTGCGCGTTTTGTTGACTGCTTACGGTAATAGCAGAACAGCCTTTCGCTGTCAGTTTTTCTCCTCGAACAGAAAGCGCGCTTAGGAGACTCGTTTTGTGAATAAACCCTTATTTGGAAAAGCATGTAAAAACTTAAAATGTTCGACATTTAATTTGGTCAAAAAGTGAAATTTTCAGCTGCTGTCCATTTTTACAGTAAAGACTTAAGTATCTTATTCCACTGGGTGTATGACCTCACCACTGCCTTCACCGCTGTGCCTACAACCACAAACCTTTACTTTGGAAATTGTGGGTAAAATTGAGACAAATTACACGTTTTAGTCCAAAATACACAAAACTAAGAAAATTCCCACCTTTGATCTACTGCAGTGTCTCCCAAAGTGGGGTCCGCGGCCCCCTGGTGGGCCGCGAGGGTACTGCAGGGGGGCCGCGGGAGGTCATAAAAAAAATAAAAAAATAATATAATTATTTAATGTTAAATTTATAATGTTTTGTTTGTAATATTAAAATATTTGTGTTCATTATTTGACTTGAATAATCCACTGTAATCATTTTTGTATTACAATGTTTGTAGCAGAGGCTATTTCCCCAAAATAAAATAACCAGAAGAGCCTATTCTTAATGTTGTCTTCTTGGTTATTATTTTGGGGGGCCACGCAGACCCGTCAGATTTTTAAGGGGGCCTCGGTGTTACTGAGTTTAGGAATGGCTGATCTACTGTAACTTTTTTACTGTAAAAAGGTGTGAGACTAATTTCACTGGATTCATGACCTCAACATTGCCCTCTACCACTGTACCAAAGACAAGAAACATTTACTGTAGAAATTTTGAGAAATACTGATTTAAAGAAGCCATTTTGGTCCAAAATGGCTACTTATAACTCCATATTTCTCTAGATTTCTACAGTAAAAGTTCCTGGTCTTTGGTACAGTGGTAGAGGGCAATCATGAGGTCGTGAATCCAGTGAAATTAGTCGCACACCTTTTTACAGTAAAAAGTTACAGTAGATCAAAAGTGACATGTTTTGACCATTTTTAGGCTATTTTGGACCAAAATGGCTACTTTACCTCAATATTTCTCAATATTTCTACAGTAAAAGTGTCTGGTCTTTGGTACAGTGGTAGAGGGCAATCATGAGGTCATGAATCCAGTGAAATTAGTCGCACACCTTTTTACAGTAATAAGTTACAGTAGATCAAAAGTGACATGTTTTGACCATTTTTAGGCTATTTTGGACCAAAATGGCTACTTTAACTCCATATTTCGCAATATTTATACAGTAAAAGTGTCTGGTCTTTGGTACAGTGGTAGAGGGCAATGTTGAGGTCATGAATCCAGTGAAATTAGTCGCACACCTTTTTACAGTAAGAAGATACAGTAGATCAAAAGTGACATGTTTTGACTATTTTGGAGCTATTTTGGACCAAAATGACTACTTTACCTCAATATCTCTCAATATTTCTACAGTAAAAGTGTCTGGTCTTTGGTACAGTGGTAGAGCGCAATCATGAGGTCATGAATCCAGTGAAATTAGTCGCACACCTTTTTACAGTAATAAGTTACAGTAGATCAAAAGTGACATGTTTTGACCATTTTTAGGCTATTTTGGACCAAAATGGCTACTTTAACTCCATATTTCTCCAAATTTCTACAGTAAAAGTTCCTGGTCTTTGGTACAGTGGTAGAGGGCAATGTTGAGGTCATGAATCCAGTGAAATTAGTCGCACACCTTTTTACAGTAAAAAGTTACAGTAGATCAAAAGTGACATGTTTTGACTATTTTGGAGGTATTTTGGACCAAAATGGCTACTTTACCTCAATATTTCTCAATATTTCTACAGTAAAAGTTTCTGGTCTTTGGTACAGTGGTAGAGCGCAATAATAAGCTCATGAGTCAAGTGAAATTAGTCGCACACCTTATTCCAGTAAATAGTTACAATACTTGAAAATTGCACTAGCGGACCAAATTGTGTACTTTATATATGTAAACAATAGAGTGGCTATCCTCCTGAGGACTCACAATCTGCCGGAGGAATCGTAGGGGGCTGGTGCTATGTGGCATCTCTATAAGGTTTAAATCACAAAAACGTGTCTCCCTGACCCCAGCGCGCTTTCTGTTCGATAAAAATGGGTGACTCCGAAAGGACGTTCCGCTGTTACCGTAAGTTCTCAACAAAACGCGCACCGTCTTTTCCCCGATGCGGCCCGCATGTTCATTGAGCTGAAAGATGCGGGCCACTTTACCGCGGTCCATTTTAGCACACTTCAAATATTTCTTTCTGTCCCGGGGTTGTCCATTCGCCCAGGCTTGTATAATGCTCCCGATCTTGCTGTGCCTCCAGTCTGTTTACACTCAGCCCATAATCGTTCGATCGCTTTTACACCATGTGCAATCTCTAATTTTAGTTTATGGATAATATTGAAATATAATTATTTGGTTTTGTACTAAATATGAAACTGCGTGACAAAACTTAAGATTATATTCATGTAACGCATGTGGGTCTTTTGGAAACTTAACAGCGGCATATGAGATCTCAACATCCAACTAACCATACACAGATTGAGTGTGCTTTTTTATATAGTTTGTAATTTCATTGTAAACAAATTGGTATTCACCGAAAAGTTTTCTTTGCAAAAAAGAGAAAGCAATACAATTTGGAGGTTTATATTAATTTGCCTGTACGTGGGCAGTAGGGCTGTCTAAAATATTGAGTTATAAAGTCCCCTGCATATCGGAGTTGGTATGACATATTTTTTGACACCATTGGGCAAACCCAATTCGTTTAGTCGTTGGACTAAATGATTGCAAAATGGGCTGATCAGATTTGCTGTATACACGAAACTTCAAACCAATAAATTGATTTTATATTTTCCTACTTCAAAAACAATAATACATTTTGTGATGTTGATTTAATTAATGATTTAATTCAATTGTTTGCATAACAAAGTCTAAGTAGTTAATATTCACTCTGATCAGTCTCCAATATTATGATTTTGTTTTTATGATTGGCCTAAAAATTCTCACCAGAGAACCTCTAAGTTCCATGTCATTTATTTGTCATACAAATTCATAAAACGGAACTTCTTATTATTGGGGCGACAGTAGCTCAGTTGGTAGAGCATTGGCCTTAAGCCCAGAAGGTTGTGGGTTCAATTCCCACCTCTGCACCTTCTCCACCGACTCCCACTGATGACTGCTGTCGTTGTGTCCTTGGGCAAGACACTTAACCCCACTTTGCCCAAAGCCCCCACTGAAAGATCAAGGCTATGCTCACACTCAGAGAGCAGCCGTCCTCCTGTGGACTCACCACCTGCAGAGGGTCAGTGAGGGGCTGGTGCTATGAGACTTGGGTGGCATCTCTGACTGCCACCCCCCTGACCCAGAAATGGATTAAAGGGTAGAAAATGGATGGATGGATGGATGGAACTTCTTATTAGCACTTTAAGCTGCAGTAACCAGTAGATGGCAGGTGCACCCCATCTCGTTCCTCATCTGTGGCCTCTTTTCCTTTCTGACAAGAACGGTCATGTCTATACATTATTAGTTATCAGTGCTTGTGCTTCACAACAGGAAGGTCCTGGGTTCAATTCTGCCTTTTTCTGCTCAGGTGTCCCCTACCACTAAAAACATCTACATTAGGTCCGGCATGCGCCTCCTTTATGGTTACCCTGCATGGCGACCCTGCTTCCATCACATTGTGCAGTGACTGTCTGTGAAAGGCGCTAAATAAGATTATTTACTGACTTGCATTCATGTAGGAAGCACCTAGTTTTTTATGTGAGAGAACGATTTCAATCGACCTAATTCAGTGCATTAGGAAGCACAATTTAAAACTTTGTTTAATTTGTTAGAGATGCCCTTATCCCATTCTATCAAAGTAATTGTCAGTTATGAAACTCTAGAAAAATCTT